AAACGTCCTGTTAAAAAATCTATCTAAAAAAAATGTCGTACAATTAACCTACATTATAATCAGTATGTTCAAATTAGCCTATTTCCCTACGCGATGGAAAAAAGCAACGGTAATTCCAATACTGAAGCCAGGGAAAGATAAAACAATAGCACCAAGCTACAGACCAATTAGCCTTTTCCCAACCCTTAGCAAAGTAACAGAAAAAATCATTTTAACCAGACTCTTAAAACATAGCGAAAATAATAAATTAACAATTGAACAGCAATTTGGATTTAGGAAAAAACATAATACCATCCAACAAGTAGTAAGGCTAATAAACGACATAAGCGTAAACTATAACAAGGAAAAAGTAACATTTGACAGAGTTTGGCAAGATGGTATTATATATAAAATGATCCAAGAAAAATATCCACCGCCCCTGATAAAACTCATACACTCATACCTCAAAGATAGATTTTTCAAAGTAACAGTAAATAACGTTAAATCCAAACCGAAGAAAATAAGCGCAGGAGTACCTCAAGGCTAAGTACTTGGTCCCATCTTATTTACCAACTTCCTAAATGACATCCCACAATTTCCAAAGACAAACATAGCCCTATTCGCGGACGACACTGCGATATACGCGCACTCGTTCAGTGCAGTGGTTGCAGTAAAGCAAATACAAATACATGTCAATATATTAGAAAAATACTTTAAAACCTGGAAAATAGACCTCAATGCAGACAAAACGGAAGTCATAGTTTTTTCAAAGAAAGTAAATGACACCAAAATTTTTACACCGATAAAAGTTTACAACCACTGCATAAATTCAACAGCAACTGTAAAATACCTCGGAGTATTCCTAGATAAGAAATTACTATTTAAGGAACTGTTGCAGTGTAACAGTAAATTCATAAAGCCAGCGGATATAGACTCACACCTTTCATAAACAATCAAGGATTTGCTTATAACCTACTGCCCCTAAGGCGGCTATTTAATAAGTAAATTCACTTAAAATCTTCATGGCCCTCCAAATCCAGTTGCTCTATGACTTTACTACCTGCAATAACATCGACGACCGGTGCCAGATGTTTTATGATCAGACTCAGGTACCGCGCGAAACATCTGGGCACCAAGCGGTGGCCCGAGCCCGTAGCCTTCTCGCGGAAAACCCCGGGCCCGCAAAAATGATTAAAAATCATCGTTACAAGCCGCCTCCCACCGACCAACTTCGCCGCCAAAGTGATTGGCCGGCGTATTTATAATACAAAACCAATCAGCGACTAATACTTCCTCCCATGGTCTTGGGTACGCCCATGGCGAGGTTAGCTTTTTGGGCGACCTTGGCCCAGGGAGCAGATTGAGTCAAAACATCAAACAAGCAACACCGAGAATAACACCGAACACGAACCAGCAGACCGAAGACTTCATCTGGCGGATATCTTATATTGGAGCCACCAAGCGTATCCCCTAAACAGTTGCACAAAATTAAGTTGGCGTGCGACATTGTGCTACTGCGCAAAACAGGAACACATTAAGCAAACACTCAGAAAAGCATACGGTGTGTTAAAGTTATTATATACCGTTACGGCAAAATCATCAACGATGTCAATAACAAATAAAAAGTTACTGTACACTACCATATTGCGCTCAATAATCTGCTATGCAGCGCCTGCATGGTACGCAACATCAAAAACAAATACAAAACCTCTATACGTGTTTCAGAATAAATGCCTAAGGTTAATGCTAAATAGAAACAGGTATGAAAGAATTATAACTCTCCATGAAGATGCCCAAATACCGTTAATACGCGAACATATTCAAAAAATAGCACAAAAATTCTACGCAAACCTACCAAGCAGTGAAAACAAATTTATAAAAAACATAGTCTCCATAAAGGCTAATAACAAGCCTATTAACTGGAAGCACAAATTGCCCTATCAAGCACTCCCGATATTCGTAGAATAATTAGACGTAACAACTCAAAATTTCTCGGGATGCCATATAGTAGGTATAGATTTAGGATATCCCGTGCAATAAATAGCAACACTGCCAAAATGTATTCACCAAAGAAAAGTGCAATTAACATGTGAATAAGCAATCAATTATATCTAAGCGAATCTACTCGTACGCAGGTTTTCCTAATGAACTAGTTTCCTGCAAACACCGAGAATAAATACTTTTGTAATATTAGAATTACCACTATTTTTATATAATAAACAAGCGATATTCAAATACGTAGCGTAATGAAAAGTGAAGGTAAAGCTTAGACAAAATAGGTAGGAACTTCTGTAAAATATTGTTTATATTGAACATGTACACTAATGTAATTGTTATTGTATCTTGTTACCAAATGTAATGTCCAATAAATGTTATTTAAAATGGTAAACGGTTAAAGTTAAGCAGCGTCGGGCGAGGTTAGTACTTGGATGGGTGACCGCTTGGAACACCGCGTATTGTTGACGTTCCTTTTCTTTTGGCAATTCGTGTGGCGACGAGAATTGATAAACCACAGTAGCTAGAAGGAACGCAATCTATTCGGCGAAGTTCCATAAAAAATAATATGTAGGATTTCGGGTAGGATGTTTTTACAACAAAAGTCGAAAGAACTCAACAAATTAATTTTTCTACCGAAACTTCGATACCTGTCGAATAATATTCCGAACCCGTTAATTAATATTAAGGATTAGAAAATTACATTAATCAATGCACATGAGTTATTCCACGTGTATCTTAACATATGTGAAGTAATGCACTGTCACACGTGTACATGTATCTATTGAACAGCATTGATAATTGCATTTGCCAGTAGAAATGGACGTCAACGATCAGACTACGTTGAAATCACCACCGACCACGCTGGGAAACACCGCGCTGCAGTCGCATAACCTCTCACAACATGCGAAAAACGTTACAAAAGTTTAATAATCATACGAAAGACCTAAACCAAGACAAAGTTCCTACTCACAATAGGAAGGAAAGCCTGGACGCGGCAAAGGAAGAAGAAAATTCCAAAAATGCGGCCGAAGAAACGGCGAAGTTAGTAAAAGATGCGCAGCTAACCTACAAAAGTAACAAGTTGCATGAAAGCCAAATAAATGAATTTAAAAAATTTCTTGAAACGCCAGTTAAACGAGGAGGCGCTTCAAAAATCGCAAGGTTAACAAAAACCCAGAATACGTTGAAAAGGAAAAAAATCGCAAAAATGACTAAACACAAAGTGAGCAAGATAGAAAATACCACTCAAAAGATGACCACAGCACAGTCGCCAGAAAAACAGGAACTGCTAGTGAAACTGCAAGCCGAAAACAACGAGCTGAAAGAACAGTTACAAAAACTAGCACAAATAATAGAAAACCTCAAGAAAGAAGCAAACAAGGACCCGAAGCAAGAAAAAGAAACACAATTAACAGACAACAGCATCACACACGTGGAAGTGTCGATGGAAGAGGACCAAACAAATCAACAAGCAGACTTCATACAAGTTTTAAAAAGAAGAAACGAAGAAAGGAAGGCAACAAGCAGCAGAAACACACCCAAACAACAGCAGACATCAGTATCGACTCACAAGAAATCAGCCACAGCAGGCCCTACGCTGCCTACAGGACAAATCAAGGCAACTTCTTCTGGACAAAACAAAACCATAAGGGAAGTAACCACCACACTTACCTCATCCAAACCTCCCCCTATTAATATCTTGTACCAAGACCCTAAAGAAACTGTACAATTAATAAGCCATAATGATAGCCAAGTAAAATTCCACATAAAGAGATTAAGTAAAACGAAGCATATTTTGCAGCTTAACACTCTGGAGGATTTCCAAAAGGCCAAAAGTACACTTTGTGAAGCAAAAGCTAGTTTTTATACATATACTCCTAAAGTGTTAAAAAACCATAATTTCTTGCTGAAAGGGCTCCCCGAGTCCTTTACTGAGCAGGAAATTATGGAAGAGCTGCAAAGTATGGAAACGAATGAGTTACGCTTTGAAAAAATAACCAGATTTAGTACACCAAAATCAATTAGAGAAGGTCGTACGCTCCCAATATACCTGTTAAAGATATCAGCAGATAGCGACCTTAAGAAATTAAATAGCATACAATATGTAGGACACCATATAATAAAGTGGGAAAAATTAAACAAGGAGGGAGATGTTCAATGCAGGAGGTGTCAGAGATTTGGGCACTCTGCAATAAATTGCAATCTAACCTATAGGTGTGTCAAGTGCAAAGAGATACATGAACCTGGAAACTGCGTAAGAGGTAAAGACCCAACGGGGCATTCCAACTTGGAACCTTTCTGTGTAAATTGTAATTCTGAGGGCCACCCTGCATCTTATAGAGGGTGCCCAAAGTTTGCAAAATATAAATTAAACCTGCAGGTACAAAAAAGCAAAAATAGGACAGATGCACCAACATTAATTGCAAATCCAGCGTTTATAAAACCAGGACTCTCATACGCAAATACATTGAAGGGAACAGGCAATGACACGCACTCAATCAAACCAATAAGTATTATCAATATAGGCACTCAAAATACACAAAACAAACAGAAAGAACAACGGAACATACATAACCTACAAATAAGAACAGAAAGGTTAGAAAAAACCTTAGAAGCAATTGTTGCCAACTTAGAAATAATGAGCACACAGGTTAGCCACTTAGCAAACATGCTAACTACAAGCCATCACATTCAATAGTACACACAAAACTACACAAACACTTAACCCCTTCAGACCCGAATTTTTCGTCGTTTAGGAAAAAATTATTTTTATACTAAAATTAACTTAATTCATGTGAATGAAAGCAACAATATACTTTTTACAAAAATATTTACTCATTTATATATAATTTTTAAATGTACATTTTAATGGACGTATGGTCCTTATTCAAAATTTGTAGCATAGGAGATCTTGAGTAATATTTGTATGAAAAAAAATTCTCTTGCTATATTATAAATAATTTATTATTATATTATAAATAATTGCTTTTGAATAAGCAGTTATATATATGTATATATAATTATTATTTTCTGTGAAATCTTTCAAAACAATTCCTCTCTTTTACTAAACACAAATGGACACGACATTTGTCACAATAAAAATGTGTCCTTCCTTTGCATAATGGCATCTTGCATCGTGTTGCTTCTTTTTTATCATCGATTTGGGGCATATGGTCCACATTATCGTGTTGAATTTCTCTTATTGGTCTTTTCTCACAGCAACGAAATTTTCTTTTTCTGTCGGGTGTAATTTCTCCTTCACTTTTTGAAGGACGACCACGTTTCTTTACATTTACAAGCTTGTTCTTATAAATTAAACTTTTGGAAACGTGCATACGAAGTTCCAACAAATCCATAATATCTTTTTTATGAATTTTAGCTTCGATGCAATCTTGTTTATACTCTATCCAACTATTAGATAGAGCAAAATCCACAAAATGCATAATTAATCGAAGGGTCCATTTTCGAGATCTAATATATATGCGATATAAACTTATATACATATCGAGCAGATCAACTCCTCCCATGTTGCTGTTATATTGCCTAACAACTTCAGGTCTATCAATTTCGATATATGCTGATTTTTGCTTATCCCACCGTTTTGCTTTATCAATTGTTCCAGTGCCAACAAAGTTGGAAGCCATATGAACTGGTTTGTTGCCCAGCCACTTTACCATGATAATGCCATCCTGACTAACTAGATCTTCGGAATAGCCTCTTTTCTTCTTTTTTATATCTTTATCAGATATAAAATGTGGTTTATAAAACCTATTCATACGAACTGTACCAGCAGCATACATTTTCAATTCCAATAATCGCAGAAGAAGAGCATAAGAGTTGAAATAATTGTCAAAATACACTGTATGACCTTCTTTCTTTGCGATTTCTAGTAATTCTAAAACAATTGCACTACTCTGGCCATATTTTTTCACGTTGTCTCTGTTTATTTCAGTGGTACTACCTTGATATGGTATAAAATTGTGGGCAAGTCCATTTGGACTGCATAATACAAAAATTTTTAATCCCCACTTACATGGTTTATTTTGAACATATTACAACATGTTTATTTTTCCTGTAAATGGGATCATTTGTTCGTCTATGGAAATATTTTGTCCAATTTCTAATTCCTTACAGCGCTTTAGCACTGCATCCATAATAGGCTTGACCTTGTAAAATTTATCTGTGCAAGCGTTAGGCCTTTCTAAATTATTCATCAAATGTAGCATCGTCCGTAGCTGAAAGAACCTATTTTTTGACGTTTTCCAAGAAAACATTTATGCCAAGGACGGAACTCCAGTACATTCGTATGCGTGGGAACTTATTTAGACATCCAATCATAATATGTAATCCAAATAAAGTTTCAATTTCAATAACATTTGTTGGTTTGAATCGAGTTTGTCCTTGTTGAAGTGCGTATATGTTTGTACATTCGGCCATCTGTTCAAAAATTTCATCTGTTATATATTTAGAAAAATATTGCATAGGATCCAATACAATAGAATCGCCAATTTTGTCATTCTCTATCCATTCGAATTTTGGTACATCGGGTGTTTGTTTCCTCCATCGTACTCTTTTCTTATTTCGAAAACCTTCTGTAGTGGGCTCTGGATTTAAAATTTCATCTTCTCTACTGTCTCCGATTTCCTCAACTTTCCAGATCTTACTCTTTCATCTTCACTTTCTTCTGTCATCAATATCCGAATCATCCCCATTTTCCAACAATTCTAATAGTTTATCTACATATTTTTCATTTTCTAAATTAGATTTATTTAGTTTCTTATTCATCTTGAAGGATAAAATAATCTGCAAAAATATTTTCAAGAATTGTATGTATAACTATTACTCGCAAAAAATTCAAATCGAAAACTTTGTACAGTGTTTCCACTGATTGGGACAGGATGTACATTAGGATGTACATATTTTTTATAGAGGTTATAATACGAAGCCAAAGTAAATATCTTTTGTACAATTTCATTATTACGTAGACCCATACATACTTTAGTGATGTGTATATCTTTTGACACTCATTTGAAAAAATAAGAACGAAAAACTAACAATATTTGCTACTTACTGCTGTCACGGCCATTCGAATTTCAAACTACTCACATAAGAAGCACTATAACTCAACACACAAAAATCAGATGGCGTTATACACGTTATTCTTTCATGTTAGATGATCACTTGTAGGTACATTAGGTGTTGAAACGAAGTTTAAACCTATACAGCATAAAATACAGCACGAAAAGTGTTATGTACATTACAATGTGCATGGGGCCCGAAGGGGTTAAGCTAGTCTCAGCAAACATTAACTCAATAGTAAGCAATAACAAACGAATAGCACTCACACTGTTATTGGATAAAAAGAAACCAGATATAGTGATGCTAAATGAAACCAAATTACAAGATAAACACACAGTATATTTTAAAAACTATAAAATTATAAGGAACGACAGGCCAAATGCAAAGAACGGAGGCGGCACAGCGATAATAATTAAAAAAGGTATAAAATATGAAACAATACACATAGATACAAGAACAGAAATAATAGAGAAACAGCATTACGTTTAAATACATCAGCAACAACAAGCTCATATTAATATCAATTTATGCAAAGAAAGGTCCCAATGCAAAATTTAAAGAATTAGAAAAAATATTTATTGAATTAGATTTAATGAATCAATCTAACTACTAGGTCATTGCCGGAGACTACAATGCAAAACATGAATCGTGGGCAAACAGAATTAATGACGAGCGAGGAAGAGCATTTAGGGAATGGATAGATAACAATGATATTAGATTTAGAATAAACCTACTTCACACTACCGTACCTTCCTTCCCTCGCCATGGATCTTTCATCGATCTAGTACTAGCAGATGCAAGGATAGAGTTTTTAAATACAAATGAAAATAGACTAAACACAATACAATTATCAAGTGACCACGAAGCAATCACAGCGCAAATCAGTATCCCTAGCCAAAGTATCACAAGGACCCAAGACGAAGGAAACATAACTTATAATTTTGCAAAGGCTGATTGGACAAAATTTCAGAATATACTACTGTGGCGGCCAAGGCACCACATACGCCTTAGCCGTTCGAAGCCGCTACAATGTATGGTTGCACACGAGACGATGGTTGCACACGAGACGATGGTTGCACACGAGACGACCAGAGCCGCGTGAGCCGAAAAGCCGTTGTCGTCGTCTCTGACCGTCTTTTGTTTTTGAAGGCCTCTTGGTACGGTGGCGATGATCGTACCAGAGAGTCGAGCGTAACCCGCACCACGAGTCACGTCGTTGTACGACAGCAACAATACAATTGTGCGGAACGGAACAGAGCGGAGTCATTATCTTCCCGATCCCACATTGGTGACCCCGACGTGATCTCGCCGCGCAAGTAAAGTTTTTTTAAGAAAATTTGGACATTTTTCGTATACGGACAATATTAGTTAGGGTAGAGAAATAAGTGTATAGTGTTAAGGACATAAGAAAAGGACACGGTCTGACAAATAGTAAGCGCGGTGTGTGTGTGCGGTGAAACTATTTTTTTTTTGTGACCAAGACTGGTAAAATGACTGACCCTAACGTTAACGCAGGGACATCCGCGGGTGTGCCGTTGGCAGTTGATCGCGTCGCTGTACGGATACCCGAGTTTTGTCCGGGAGACCCGGAGATGTGGTTTTCAATGGTAGAGAGAAGTTTTGAGGTATCCAATGTAACGTCGGAGACCACGAAATTCGGGTACATTCTCGGCGCGTTAAGTGCGCGACACGCCGCGGAAGTAAGAGACATTATCATGAATCCCCCGGCCGCGGATCCGTACACGACGCTAAAAAATGAGTTCATTCGCCGGCTTAGTGCGTCGCAGGAACAGAAAACGCGGCGGTTATTGGAACACAAGGAAATCGGGGACAGAAAACCGTCCCAATTTCTTCGTCACCTGCGCGGATTGGCCGGTACGGCTTTTTCGGACGGTGTATTGCGGACGCTTTGGATGGGCCGACTACCTGCTAATATGCAGGTGATTTTAGCCACGCAGCGGGACACCCCGCTGGATAAGGTGGCAGAGTTGGCAGACGCTGTTGCGGATACGATGACACCGCGGGTACACGTCACGGAGGCCGCGATTACGGGCGTATCTGCATCCTGCCAAATACCCCCGCCGGGCCCGAGCATCGAGGCCATGTTAAACATTAAGATGTCACAATTGGCTCTTTCCTTGAGGCAGGAAATTTCCGCCATCCGCGAATCCTTGGTGGACCAGGGGCAATCTTCCCGTCGCAGGTCGACCCACCGAAATCATCCAAACTCGCGCTACCGCAGACGATCTCTATCGCGATCGCGAGAGCGGCCCGCGGGAGGACAAATGGACCATCAAGGGAAATGCTGGTACCATTGGCGGTTCGGTCCGGCCGCGCAGAGGTGCGTTGCACCGTGCAATTGGAACGCCACGGATCAGGGAAACGACCTGGGGAGTCGTTGATGGCGGCCAGCGACACAAATCCAGCATCACGCCGCCTCTTCATCTTAGACAACAGCTCGAAGACGGAATTTTTAGTGGATACCGGGGCCGATTTGTGCGTTTTTCCGCGCCGCCTGCTAGGCGGATTGCGAGAAAGATCGGAGTACCAGCTGGCGGCGGCGAATGGGAGTGTAATTAACACCTACGGGACAGTGTCGTTAAACCTGCACCTCGGCCTACGACGGGATTTCGTGTGGCGATTCGTGGTTGCGGATGTTACAAAACCCATAATCGGGGTAGACTTTCTCGATCACTTCGATCTTATGGTGGACATCCGCAATCGTCGCCTCGTCGATCGGACCACGTCGTTAACGGTCCGCGGAACACGAGCCGAGGATGAAACGCCGTCGGTGAAGACAGTAGCAGGGACTACCGTTTACCACCAGCTCCTGATGCAGATGCCGGAACTTACACGGCCTAGCGGCACCCCGATGAGGACTACGCACCAAACGGTGCATTACATCGAGACAACCCCTGGACCACCCGTTTCCAGCAAGCCGCGGCGGCTTGCACCGGACCGGCTCAGGGCTGCCCAGAAGGAGTTCGACGCGATGGTGAAGATGGGCATCGCTTGTCCTTCGAAGAGCGCGTGGTCAGCACCCCTTCATATGGTTCCGAAGAAGGGCGAAGAAGCTTGGAGGCCTTGCGGTGACTATAGAGCGTTAAACGCACGGACAATTCCCGACCGATACCCCGTGCGTCACATTGAGGATTTTGCGCAACAACTGAGTGGCAAAAAGGTATTTTCCACAATAGATCTCGTCCGAGCTTATAATCAGATTCCGGTTGCGTCGGAAGACGTCGGAAAAACGGCCATTACAACGCCGTTTGGGCTTTTTGAATTCCCGTACATGTCGTTCGGGTTACGAAATGCCGCGCAAACATTTCAGCGCTTTATCGACGAAATTTTACGCGGTTTCGATTTTTGTTACGCGTATATAGACGACATTTTGGTCGCCTCAGAATCCCAAGCCGATCACCTGCGCCATTTAGAATTATTATTTAAACGATTAAAAGATTATGGCATTGTTGTTAATCCGAATAAATGCACGTTCGGGCAGGAAGAAGTTAAATTTCTAGGCTATCGGGTAAATGAAAGCGGCACTCAACCTTTGCCCGGCAAGGTACAAGCCATAAAGTCATTTCCCCTTCCGAAAAACGCGAAGGATTTGAGGCAGTACTTGGGAATGCTTAATTTTTACCGCCGTTTTATCCCAGATGCCGCTCGCTTTCAAGCACCCTTGAACGACCTTCTAGCCGGCAATTTAAAGGGCAAGACCTCGATAGCCTGGACTTCGGAAGCGCGTCAGGCTTTCGAAAATACCAAAAATAGTTTAGCAAACGCAACCCTGCTTTCTCATCCTGCGGTCAACGCTCCATTGTCGGTTACCTGCGATGCTTCTGATTACACCGTAGGAGCTGTTTTACATCAGTGCGTCGGCAACGAACGACAACCATTAGCATTCTTTTCTAAGAAATTAGGATCTGCCGAAAAGAAGTATTCAGCTTACGACCGGGAACTACTTTCTATCTATTTAGCAATAAAACATTTCAAACATATGCTCGAAGGCAGACATTTCACGATTTTTACAGACCATAAACCCATAACTTTCGCTTTCAAACAGAAATTAGATAAATGCTCTCCTCGACAATTCCGATACCTAGATTACATTGCGCAATTCTCTACAGATATTCAACATATTTCC